TGAACCTGCCAATGGAGACAGGGTTTTCCAGAATAGGATGTGGGTCTTTGCCAGGCAGCAACCACAGTCCCAGGAGGTTCTACCCACAGGCAGAAAAAGGCAGCTCCTTCCCCCAGCAGCTACACCCACTTGCTCTTACTACTCCCTGCTCTGCAGTCACCAGGTCTCCCAACACATCTGATTCCTGGAGGGAGAACAGCCCATATCTTAGTCTTGGTTTAGGGGTAGAGAGGACACAGAGTCAAAGGGGTTGTGTGGTCAGTAGAGGTCTCCTCAGCCCCTCGATTCTCAAGCTGCTGATGCCAGAAGCCAGGAGACAGCACTAGGGAAGAACTCTTCCCTTTTTCCTCATTTTTGTACTCTTTCTCAAGTACCCACCACAGGCACCTGTCTGAGGCATGATTCCCAGTCACAGGCACCTGCTGTATGATTCAGTAGGTTTTAACCACATTTTGTAGAGCAGAAAACAAAACCAGGATGGCAACAACCATTTAAAACTGGGAAAATGCCATTCCAAACATTCCCAGTACTACAGATTCAAGGCTATTCTTTGCATGGCTCAAATCAGGAGCATGATTAACACCTGCACTTTCCCAGGCAGAGCAAGCCTCAGGCTGTTGCTCACCAGCTTGACAATTTGCCAAACCTGGAGGGTAGGAAATGTGAGTCCATGTGCCTCGTGCTCCACACAAAGACATGGCAACACCAGAAGCAGCAGCAGGGATGCCCTGATGTCACAGCAGAAGGAAGAAAAGGCTTAGGAGCTCCCTGGACTTTCATCCAGACACTCATACAGTGACAATCTCCACATCCCTCTGGGATCTACCAGCTTGAAGTAAGGAGAAAGGCAGCACCAACCTTACCTTATAACACAAAGTTGCCAAGTTTGAAGGTGATTCTTCTCTCACTGCTCGGATCTCTGCAGCTGGTACAAGGGCAAAGACATCCTGCACTGACGTGGCTGTGTCTGCCCAGAACTGGTCCCAGAAGGCATCATCTGTTGCCTCCACAGGCTGTGGAAAGACAAACATGGTTACAGAACTACCATTCTATCAAGTCCAAACACCCAGGTCCTGTATTCCAAGATCTTTACCAATGCTGTCCTAGCTCTGTCACCTTCAGAGCAAGCCAAGGATACCCTGAGCATGCACTGGAATTACTTCTATTGCAACCAAAGTCTCAAGGAAGCAATCAGAGACATCTCACACGAGGGCACAAAGAGACATCTCGCAGAACCCACCTCAAAGCACTTACACATACAACCCAATTGGTCTTTCTGAATCAAATATTTATAAGGAACTGGACTGCTGATTGCTGCAAGCTTTGTTCTTAAAAAGCACTAAGTGTGCAATTCAAAGAGGAAGATGGAAGGAAGAGGCTGATATATGAAAAAAAGCAATCCATTTCAGACCTGTGGTCTGAGAAGCTTCTCCCCACCCTCCATGGCTGGGAACACACCTCTTCCCATTACCTTTTCTGGCTTTTCAGGTAGACAACCTTCTCCTTCACCAGCACTGTAGTCCCCTTTCTACAGTGGGAGGATGAGTATTGTCCTCGAGCCCACCCTGAGACCCCACCAGACCACAGCTGGAAAGACAGCTCTGCACATCTGGCTGCAGAGTGCCCAGGTGATTTCCCCCAGCTTCTTCCTTACAGCATGGCACCTACTTGGAAAGCAAACCACCATCAGTGACAACCTGGGTATCAGGTTATATGTGGCTGAACAAAGAGGACTGGATCTTGCTTTGCCCTTTATGTAGAGCCAGAGAGCATTCCTAGGTGAAGCAGAGGCTCACACACAGGGCCAGCTGTGCCGCCAACCCTGCAGAAGCACTTGGCCACTCCCAAGAGGCTGAAAGCACCAGCACTGTTTGCTGAACAAGGAGGCATCTCCATTACACACCATCTGAGGCATCCAAAGCTCCGAATAATCAGGGAAGACTTAGCTTTTCAGCAAGTTCAAAACAGAGCACAGCTCTTCCCATCTAAATGCTAACACTTGCCAAGAGATGGGCATCACTCAAACAAAACTGGGAGCACTCCTCCAGCCCAGGGGTGGGATAATACCTGCCTATTTATGCCAAGCAGTATGAAAGAGATGGATGCACATCAGAAGAGGAAAACGGGAGCTTTTCCAGAGGAGTTTCCCCACCCATGCCAGATCAGAAGAGCCATCCCTTTGGCTTGAAGTGAGGGGGAGCCTCCTGCCTGCAAGTTTACCAGCTCCAAAGCAAACAGCAGCTCTCTCCAACTAGAATAACCAGCCCTGTGGGTAGGTCTATCAGGTCAGATGGGAAAGGGCAAGAAAATGAACATGTGTTTAAGTTAAACAGTTCCTGCTCACTCCCAGCTCTGCTGCAGCTCTCTGCTGTTTCTAATGCAGCTAATGCACAACTCCAGGGAGAACAGCCCACTCACAGCCCTGGCACTGAGAAGAGCTCTATCTCCCCTTTGCTATCACCTCCTGAATTAACAGCCACAGTCTTTGAGCACTATGTGCCACTATCACCCAAAGGCCAAAACGTGAGAGGGGCAGGAAGGCAGCCTCCAAACTGGTATAGCAGGTTACTGCCCTGCAGCGCTCGGCCTTAACGCTCCAGTGCTGCAGAGGCTGCTTATCTCTTGTCCTGGTCCTTCCAGCCACGCAGCAAATCCACCCAAGGGACTCTCCAGACTTTACAAACAAAACCAGAAAAAAGGCACACACATGTTTAGGCATTAAGGAAAGAATTTTTCTCTGTGAGGGTGCTGAGGCGCTGGCACAGGGTGCCCAGAGAAGCTGTGGCTGCCCCATCCCTGGCAGTGTTCAAGGCCAGGTTGGACACAGGGGCTTGGCGCAACCTGCTCTAGTGGAAGATGTCCCTGCCCGTGGCAGGGGGTTGGAGCTGGATGAGCTTTAAGCTCCCTTCCAACCCAAACCATTCTGATTCTGTGATCTTCTTAAACTGCTTTAATGCTGAAACCCTCTTCATTTCATCACCTGGTCACCAGAGCAAGTTCCCACCAACCATCTTCCCAAGGTTCAAGATCACAGCTCCTCAGAGGGGATCCATAGGAAGCACCAAGTGTTCACAGCCTGACTTCCAGCTTCCCGAGTGCTTAAAGGAGCTGCACTCTTTGTAACCTGGGCATGAAGTGGAAGCAAAGCTATATTGCAAACCTCAGCTCTAACCAGACTCCTCAAAAAGAGCCAAGTATTTGGAAATCCAATCTATGTAATGCATGAAACATCCTACACCTTCTACATCCCCTTTCAAACCTGGTACCACAACCGTGTGTTTATTGCCACATGTCCCCACTGGCTGCCTGCCACAGCCACTCCCACTGACAAGAGGGAGCAGCAATTGCTGCTAATTGGAGCTCATGCATAAATAATGCTTCACTCTCACCTAGAGGGGAAGCAGAAACCATTTCCCAGCATAGACACAGATCCTTTACCTCCTGCTTGCCTCAGGCCTGCTCTGAGGTGGAACACAGCCACTGTTCTACAGATTGAAGAACATGATCTCCAACTAAAAGGACATGGAAGCAGAGAAGCATCACTGGAACACTGGGTGCTGCAGCCACATGAATGCCATGCCTGACATTCTGGCAAGCAGACGATGCTAAAACACTGGTGCTTTCGGGTTTAATAGCTGCAGCAGCCAGCTCCTCACCAACAGATGGTATCCCCTGTACAATCCTGGGCCACGGATTCAGTACTGAGTCACTCATAGCCCCACGGCCCCCCTGGTTTAATTAACAGTCTGGCATCACGAAGCTACTCCATCCACATAATAGTCATCTCCTTGATAGAACACTAATGGCTGTTTTTAAGCTGATTGTGCTCTGCACACAGCATCTCTGGGGATCTAAATATCCATTTCCTGGTGCTGAGCTCACCCAACAGCCCATATGTAGCTCATAGAAAAGGGAAATACAGAGACCTAGAACAGTCTTGTTCACCAGCCATGGATATCTTCATTTGGAAGTGTCAGGATTTAGTTACAAGCAGTACATGCTGCAGTAACAAATCCCACAGCTAGTCTTGACAGTGCTTTAACCAGAAGAGCTCACGAGGAGCTGAATCCTCACCAGCAATGCTGGGAGCTGGGGCCACTTTGGATCCTCCAGATCAGCTCAGATGTGTCCTCTTTCGGAGAGGGAGCTGCAGCACAGATAAAGATGTTCCTGATGTTCCTCCAGCACAGGGAAGACAACCAGCTCTGCACCAGCACAACAACAATGAGAAGTTCACTGTTGCTGGAAGAATCAAGGGATCAGTAGCTCAGCTCTACTCTGGAAACACAACTGGCACATCTGGAGAGCAAAGAAAGTTCCTGACCCACCACACACACCAACACAGAGGCTGCTGCAGTTACTGCCTTGTAGAGAGAGATGATGCTGCCTGAACCAAGCTCTCCACACCAAAGGGATGAGATGACAGTAGAAGAAAGGGTTGCTAAGAACACAGTGGGCTGAGCTGCAGTGACGTGACATCTTCAGAGCAGGCCAGAGGGAGACTTGGCTTCAGTTCACCTGGGCAAGGTGTGAAGACCTGCATGCTGGCCACACAGAGGTGGGACCAGTCCTACCGGACACCTCCAGTCTTTATTTCCCAAGAGTTATCAATGTTGGGTTTCAGGTTCCTTAGAGCACACCACACACACATGCTGTAGGAGCCAGAAAACACTCGGCTTACAAGCATCTTGTCAGTTACTGAACAGAGAATCACAGCTCCAACAGGCAGTCCCCAGGCACCAACAGGATACCTCACAGGAAACAGGAACACAGAGTGGAGCTGACCACGTCCTATAAACAGGAAAAGGTGCTGAGGCACAGCCTCCCCCATTCATTACTGTCCTCAGCCTGGTGCTAGCACCACCTTTGCTTTCCCTTTCAGACACAGCCCCTCACAAACTCAGGCAGGGCGAGTGTCTGCACCCTCCTCCCAGCCAAGAGCTTTCTGCACTTCCACCTTTACATCAAATCCCCGTTGCCAACAATTCCTCCAACAGGTCCTTACCAGAGGACCATCCTTAAACCAATTCTGAAGTTGCTGCAAACCATCAGCAGAGAATCAAGGGGACAAGCAGCCACTAGTCTCACTCACTGTATTCTCTTCTTGCTGCCAACTGAGCCTCCCACCAACTGAGCCAAGGAGCAAGGAGTTCAGGGCAGGGACTCTCCCTCTTCTGGGAGTCAACAGCAGAGCAGTTCCCTCATCCCTTACCAGGGTTTCTAGCCAGTAGTACCCAAGCTCAGGTAAGTAACAGCAGCATGGTCCTTTCCAGCCCAAATGAGGCAGAACTGTGCAGTGTAATACTGACCAGAGAGCCATTCAAGCAGCACTTGGTTGAGCTCTAGCAGATGAGGCAACCCTGCAAGGCCAGGGGATTAGTTTGAGGCACCACCTGCTTGTGAGCCACTGTGCAAAAGGGAAGGGTGAGGACAGATTTAGTCAGAACATCAGTAACTGGCAAGATTTCCCCCCTGCTGCCAAGGCCAGCAGCTCCACACAGAGCAATAGTAAGCTTTTCTGTAGGATCTTTGCAGTGAGCAGGGCAGAATCAAGGACAGACCCCACACGAGTGTGCTGCCAGTTCTCTGCCCCCACAGCAGAGTGTGGCAAAGGAAACTGGAAAATGGGATTAGTGCAAGTCTGGCAGTGAAAGCCCAGGCCAAGCGTCAGCTGTGTGCACTGTTAGTTACACCTTTGCTTTTAAGACAACAACTTTGCTCTTGATCAACCTGAGACAAGCTTGAATGCTATTAGAAATAGGCTGCCAGAAACCTCCAAGCACAAGATGTACTTTCATCAGGCCCAAATTAACAGCCTTTCCACATCAGAGAGGAAGAAAGGACTGGAGTTTGTCCCTCGCGTCTGATCCTCCCTGTCTCTTTAAAAGCAGAGGCATAGCTAGCACTAAACTCTACCAAGCTGCTTCACAGATCACAATTTCTTATCTTCCAGTCGGTTGGTTGCAGAAACCATTTAATCACTAAGTGGCAAGAAATGAAAACGTGTTTCCCA